CGCGGGAGCGAGATGCGGAGCGCCGGCGCCGCAGCAAGATGCTGGATGGAGACCGCCTGCGGCGCGGCCGCCTCGCCTGCTGCCTAGCGCTGCTCGCGCTGCTCGCCCGCGCCCCGCCGCCCAACGCCGCCTACTTCGGGTACGGGCTCCTGCTCCGGACACCCTCCTCTCTGCTCAAGCCCTGCAGCCCTCCTGCTCCGTGCACCAGCCCCTGCCGCCCTCCTCTCTGTGCACCAGCTGCTTGATCCCCTGCTCCGACCCCCTGAGATCCCCCGCTCTGTTCCCTGCTCTGTGCACCGACCCCTGCGATCCCCTGCTCTGTGCACCAGCCGCTGGATCCCCTGCTCCGACCCCGAGATCCCCCGCTCTGTTCCCTGCTCTGTGCACCGACCCCTGCGATCCCCTGCTCTGTGCACCAGCCGCTGGATCCCCTGCTCCGACCCCGAGATCCCCCGCTCTGTTCCCTGCTCTGTGCACCGACCCATGCAATCCCCTGCTCCGTGCACCAGCTGCTTGATCCCCTGCTCTGATCCCCTGAGATCCCCCGCTCTGTCCCCTGCTCCGTGCACCGTCCCCCTGCGATCCCTGCTCTGTGCACCAGCTGCTTGATCCCCTGCTCTGATCCCCTGAGATCCCCCGCTCTGTCCCCTGCTCCGTGCACCGTCCCCCTGCGATCCCTGCTCTGTGCACCAGCTGCTTGATCCCCTGCTGATTCCCTGAGATCCCCCGCTCTGTTCCCTGCTCTGTGCACCGACCCCTGCGATCCCCTGCTCCGTGCACCAGCCCCTGGATCCCCTGCTCTGATTCCCTGAGATCCCCCTCTCTGTTCCCTGCTCCGTGCACCGGCCGCTGCGATCCCCTGCTCCGTGCACCAGCCCCTGGATCCCCTGCTTGGATCCCCTGAGATCCCCCGCTCTGTTCCCAGCTCCGTGCACCGATCCCCTGCTCTGTGCACTAGTCGCTTGATCCCCTGCTCCATGCACCAGCCCCCAGGGCATCCCCCTGCTCTCCCCTGCATGGGGCTGGGGTGGGCTCCCCCCTGCCCTGCCCTGCCCTGTCTGGGGAAGCAGCCGGGGTCCCACGCCCAGGGGAAGGTGGTGGTGGTGTTGGGGTGATCTACCCCATCCCTGCTGCTTCTCCCAGCCCGGGGTGCCCAGTGTCTGCTGGACTGATCCTTGGCTGCTACAGGACCCACCTGTTGGGGCTGGGCTGGGGCAGAGCTGGGACCCGGGACTGTGTTGGCAGGGCAGGGAGTAGCCCCCTGCCTGCGGAGAGGCTGGGATCCCCTCCCTGAAAGGCAGTCAGGGGTCCTGGGTGTCCCTCAGCCCCTCCGGTTGCCGGCTTCGCCCTGTCACTCCTCCTCCGCAGCCTGGACGCTGCAGGTTGTTCCTGGGAAGCGGTGTGCGTGCGTGTGCATGTGTGTGAGCACACCCGGGTTGGGTCAGCAGGTTATTTTCTCTCCCCTGTTCCGCGCTCTGGTTGCCGCCTGCCCTCGCTGCAGATCCCCGGAGCTCGGGTTGACTTAAAAGGGAGGGAGAGGAGAAAAGAGAAATTGTGCTGATCCTGGAGAGTCTTATTTTGTCTTTCCTGTAACGTGCGGTTGTGTTCAGTGGCGGAGTCTCCAAGCTGACATTTTCTTGATGGTTGTGGTCTGCACCCTCTTCCCCCCTCTCCTGCTTTCTGCACACGGGGCAGATTCGGGGCACGGATTAGGAAAAGCCTGGGGGGAAAGAAATGGCAAAAGTCACGTTCGTCCTTAAAGATCCAGCTATCCTGCTGGCTTGGCTGCTCGGTTTGTGGCCACGTGTCTTTGCAGTCGAGTTGCATGGGTTCCCCAATAAAAGGGGATGAGGCAAAGACACCCTTTGGAGGGACCGATCCGAGCGTCTCCGAGCGGGGGGCGAGATCTGGAAAGGGATTTGTGCCTTGTGCTACACGGAGGTGCGTGCACGGTGCCGTGCCATCGGGGAACGCCTTCCCTACTGATAGGTAAACTTTCTCCTGTTTTTACTTTTCTCCCTTCTCAGAAGCTGTCTCTGCCCCCTCCATGCTAAATGGCTTAAAAAAAACAAAAACCCTTACAAAATCCAGATGTTTGCAAATGCTTTCATAGAGAGGAGAGAGAGAGAGAGAGAAAATAAAGAGCCTGAAGTTTATTTTTCTGGCTTGGGCTTCTCCAGAAAGTGTCTGTCAGAGTTATCATTGCTATGATGTCCCTCCCTCGGCTGTGTGCTTTTTGGGCAGGGAATCAAAGGGAACAGCAAGAACAAGGTTCTCTCTTCCTGGATTTCATAACTCTCTGGTCTGGGAAAGTTTGTTTAATATAGTATTTGAATTGGGATTTTTTTTCTTTTCTTTCCTTGCTCACCACATTCGTGCCTGGCTCAGCTGCTCCGGTTCTAATTTCGTGGCTTCCCCTTTCTCCGAAGAGGAAGCGTGGTGTTGTTGTCGCTCTCATTTGAGAGCCATACGTTGGCGGTGCTGTCAGATCCCTGTCCGTGCATGGGGCTGCGGAGGGTGTGCAGCCCCGGGCGCCTGTTGCCACGTGCGTGGCTTTCTCCTTAGCCTGGCCTTATTTTTAAGGCTGACAAAGCATGAGACTTTGTTCCCGGTCTGCAAATTCCCTCTGTGTCAGCGTTTGCCCAGTGCCCGTGTCTGATCCCTGGCCTCATCCGTGTCCCGCAGGCTCTGCGGCTTGCCCTGCTGAGAGCACGGGCCACTTCTTGGAGGGAGCTTTCTCCCTTTCCCAGCCCTCTTCCTTTTGTCACCTGTTCCCTCTTCCCCTTCCTTCTCCCCCCAGCCTTGCAGAGGGTCCTGCCAGTGCAGCTCTGCAATGCGGCCGGCAGAGGGTTCTGCTACCCCACTAATGAAGACCTCCGGCTTTGGAGTGGCCGAGGCTTTGCAGGTGTATCCTGTTCCCAAAGAAAATAGAATACTTTCATGGGAAAGTTTTTTTTTTTTCTTCTTCTTATTTTAATTTTTTGTTTTCATTTTTCTCCTTTTTTTGGGTGCCCTTTTTCTGGGAGGGTCCATTCCCTGCATGCTCTCAGCCGGAGATGGCTAAAGCTGCTCCAGTGTGCATTTAATTGCTCTTTCCTCCTCTTCTGTTGTTTTCTTTTTTATCCTCTGCATTGCACAGAGGATCTGTTTGCTTTTTTCTGTCTACCCCCATCTCTCCTGGCCCTGGCGTTTCTCGGCATCGGTTGCGGGGTTCAACCTTAGCTGGGGTGTTTCATCGTTGTTAGGGGCAGGAAGGGACCTTAGAGGTCGTCAGGTCCAGCCATCCTGCACTTGGGCAGGAAAGCCCACTGCCGGTTGTGTCGGAGGACCAGTTCACCTTATCGGTGCCGCGTCTTGTTCTTTCACGCTTGCTAGCCTCGCTGCACTTGTGCTCGATGTTGGTGAAGGGTGGGGGCAGTCTGGGGCTTTCTTGTCTTTCAAAAAGCTCGGCATGAAATCGGATCAGCTGGCAAGGTGCGGTGCAGGGGATCCAAAAAGCTTAATTACTGTTCCAGTAAACTAGATGTGAAATCTAATACCGAATCGAAGTCAGACCTTGGGTTGTTCACTCGTGGCCACCGGCACCTCCAACCGTGCTAATCCCAGTGGATGATCCCTAATGGACTGGAGTGGTCTGTGCGTGTGTCTGTGCTTGTGGCTATCCCCGTCTTTCCTCTTCCCCCCGCCCCCCCCACACACTTTTTTTTGTTTTTTGGTGGGGGGGCGTTGGGCTTTTTTTGTTTTCCTCCTTTTCCAGTTAGACACTCTTGGCATTTAGACTTGTCGATTGTCTTCGTGGGCTGGCAATCCTCCCCAAGCAGCACCGTTTTCACGCTCCCATCCCCAGGACCAAATTGTTTAACTCTTTGCTCTGCTTTGGTGAGAAGCCACCGTGTTGGGTTGTATTGGGCCACCCGCGCGGCGCCCGTCCCAGAGCAGACGTTGCTAAATACCTCCGTGCCGTGAGCTGGACGGGGCTTGTTTGTCGATCGGCTATAACTGTCCTAAGCCATGCAGCACTGCCGCCGGTTGGGCTAATTGCCCAATCGTCCTAGAGTCTAGGTGCTTTGCTTGACCCGGGATACAGGATGAGTGCTTTGCTTGACCTGGGATACTCATACTCATCCCTTAATGTGGCACCAAGCTTAATTCCTTGCTCTTATCGTGGATCAGAGATGCTGTGGTCAGTAAATGCAGGCGGCAAAGCTGCAGGCTGGAGTTGAGTCTTGAGGAAGGGGTGGGATACCAGCAGCGCTCTCCTGGGCGGGGAGCATCCTGGCTCTTGAGGGTGTTTTCTTTCTTTTTTTGCTGTGCCGAGCAAAGTTGGCGTATGCTAAGCGTCTTTCTGTTTGTTTAGAGCACAGCAAACGATCGGCATCTGCTACTAATCTCTCCATTGTTCTTTAAGAGGAGTAAGCTGGAGATCACGCTCGCAGGAGAATATTCAATACCGAGGTCCAGGGCCCTTGTTAATCCCCGGTGACCCCTGGTTTACCGAGCGCCGGGGGTATGAAGGAGTAACTCCGGAGTGGTGCTCCGTAATGTAGGCTTCCGCGGCACTGGGAGCGGGGAGTGTTTTGGGTTTCGCACATAAGAGTCGGGAGGTCCTGCGGGGCTCCCGGTGTTGGAGGACGGCTGCGATGGCAGACGCTGGCTGCTGCGGCGGGTGACCCAGCCTGG